GCTTTTTGTTTGTCTTTATGTTTTTCTAAGACAAATGAAAGGTCTCCTTTTCTTTTCTTTTTTTAGTCACACTGCGCCGCTTGTGGGATCTTAGTTCCCCAACCAGGGATCGAACCCTGGCCCCAGGCAGTGGAAGTGCGGAGTCTTAACCACTGGACCGCCAGGGAAGTCCCGAAAGGTCTCCTTAAAGAAAAAAGTGTGGAAAGTGAAACGGAGAAGAAAAATGACAGCTGGTAGTACATACTTTCTGCCCCTATATTTTTACTTTTTAAAAGTATAAACTATCCTTAGGTACTACATAATAGGAAAACTTATAGCATATCTGTAACAGTAATAACCTATGAGTTGTTTAATGTTTTGAACAGCTTAACAAGCCCTTCCAAGGCTAAAAAAAACTACAGAACATTAATGAAGACAAATAACTGTGAAAATATATGAATAGTTATATCTTCAGTAGCGTCGAAAGAAACCAAAACTTGAAAGCATTTCGTGGACAGAAATTCCACTTTGGAAGAGAATTGTCAAAGCTTTTCCTTTTTCGGTGTTATCGTCTACTAAACTATGCTTATCTGCAGATAAATGTCCAGTCAATGCCAATTTATAAAATCAAGCACAGGAGATCTATGAGTATGGGCGAATATACATTTTCCCTGTGAATAATTTCATAATCCTCCACCTTCCAAGTCCCAAAGGGTCCATGATCACAAGAGGTTAAAGGTCCTGTACTGAACCCTGCTTCCCGTGCAGACACCCTGCTCCCAAGCTCCACAAAATGCAACAACCATTTGTGGGTCCAAAAGCTGCAAGATCAGCATTCTTTTCTCACTCTTCCAAATACTCAGAGATTAAGAGATAAAAGTATGACTTGTTTTCTTTTACTTTAGAGGTTTAAAAGAAAAAAAAAACCTTTAAGGAACATGTCATATTATAGATTACAAAATGTTAATGTTTTTATCCAAACTTAGATATGTTTGTCAGATAAAAAGTGCAATATTGTAAACAGCTATAACATTGATTCTTTTTTTCGGTTTAGTATAACCCATGCTCTCCGTTCCCCACGCAAATTGGGGCTGCTTGCTGTGACATCTGGAACTGGTTAACTTTCCCCCATGATTTGCAGCGTTGCCCTGAAATTTTTCCAGGAATTCTCCACATTCTAAATCCATCTCTATATCTTACACACCCAACCAACTATTCTCATTCTGATCAACCACGAAACCTCCAAGGGGAGACGTGTAACTGGGGTTGAAACTCAGAGAAGCAGAACCCCACACAGGAGCATACAGGTGATGCTCATCGTCGGCCCTGGCCTTGACAGTGACGTCCCGTGGTCGCTTATACACCTGGGCAGGCACGTAAAACTGTGGGCACCACGAAGTCAAATCCGTTACATCCGTTACACAACGAGAAAGAGGTCCTTTACAAGCTATTCTACAGCTGTGCTTTTTTTTTTTTTTTGCGGTACGCGGGCCTCTCACCGTTGTGGCCTCTCCCGTTGCGGAGCACAGGCTCCGGACACACAGGCTCAGGGGCCATGGCTCATGGGCCCAGCCGCTCCGCGGCAGGTGGGATCTTCCCGGACCGGGGCACGAACCCGTGTCGCCTGCATTGGCAGGCGGACTCTCAACCACTGCGCCACCAGGGAAGCCCACAGCTGTGCTTCTTAGTAGCTGTGGAACACAGAGAAACTTAGTTTTCATGTTAAAAAGGGGGTTACAAAAACCACTTTTTGCAGGATTTTTGTGGGAAATCATGATAATGGCCACCTCAGAGTGGGCACTCAGTACACGGCAGTTACTGGGCCAGAGTTGTGAGGGTATTAATTTCAGGTCTCACAAATCCCTTGATAACTAGTCTGCCTGCACAGCAGAGAGAAGCAGCCATGTGGGGGAGGGGATTTTTTTAATCTTGTAAAGTGATTTGCATAAAGAAGTGCATTATCAATCATCTAGAACTTTTGTGAATATTGGAGGATTCTTTCTTCCCAGTTTACTTTAGAGATAAAGAATACTGTTGCCCTAATTCCTCATGATAACTCTATATTTGTCTCAATACTGTGTGAGTTAGGGAAAACAGGAAAGAGATTTTCCTAATTCAAAAAGGTGGCGTTTTTTTGTTTTTTTTGCTGGCATGCCACTGATACAGGGGTGGGGGGGGATACCTCTTTCATCATCGTGTCCAATCACTTATTTTCTAGTTCTTAAACTAAGCTACTGCTAACATGATGTGAGGGAAAGACTTCAGGAAAGGCAACAGAATGTGATGTGAATAATCGACCATCTCCTACTTGAAGGTCTGCTGTGTTCACTTCAGGGGGTTGTGCGCACAGGGTCTGAGGAGGGGAGAATAATGGTCAGTATTAGGTGACAGCTTTCCGTGCTTCACAAAATGAAAACTCATTCCTAAGCAGTTCTACAAAAATGTCATCAATCCTGCTCCCTTCCTATTAATTGTGAAACTGAAACACATTCTCACGTAAGGCAGTCCTACTAAAGCAGCCGAGAATAACTTTCTCCTATATTATTTAAAAAATATTTTTATTTATTTATTTAGGCTACGCTGGATCTTAGTTGCTGCATGCGGGATCTTTAGTTGTGGCATTCAGGCTCTTAGTTGCAGCATGGGGGGATCTAGTTCCCCTACCAGGGATGGAACCCAGGCCCCCTGCATTGGCAGCGAGGGGTTCTAACCACTGAACCGTCAGGGAAGTCCCTCTCCTACATTATTTAAATGAGCAATCCCGAAGTTACAAAAACCTTTGCTATTCAATTAATCCTGAATGCCAATTTTAAAAGCCTTCATTGCTTTTCAAGATTCTGACCAGTTATTTAAAGACTATTGATTGTAAATCTTCCTCATCAGAATAACTTGCAGAGGAGAAAAAAAAAAAGACGGTTGAAACTCCTTTTTAATTTTTACTTCTTCCATTATGAAATGTTTATTTGCTATGAACCTTTTGGAGTTTAAGATTTTCTGCACACGTTCTTTTTACCAGGAAAAAACGCAATATTTTGCCACATCCTTCATACCAACATTGTAATAAAACTCAGAAGGCAATTGACCCAATTATTTAAAGCTGCCTTAAAAATCAGACAGCCCTTGCAACTGTTTCCATTCATGTAGCATCCCATTAGGATTATCTGAACCAATTTTTTAAAGCCCCCAAGTATCTCAAGTTTGTTAACTTCTGCTTAAAAAGGATCACCTTCCTTTCCCATAAGAAACTGAGCATGTGCTAAACTCATCAAATAGTGAATATAATAAAGATTATACTGTACACAAAAAGCACCCGGAAAAAGTCATGATCGTAGAAGCCCCACCCCCAGCTGTGACACCGCACAAACCACGCCCCCAGGCAGGTTATCTCAGGGTTGAGCATTTATGTATCTCACTCATAGAAAAATTAATGATCTGGGGAAAAAATGAATTTTGTGTTTTTAATTTTTAAGTTTTGTGTAGTCTAATAATACTTTCTAGGTATCGTGTAAATTTTCATGCTACGTACAGGGTAGAAAGGCAAGTTGAGTTAACTTGGGGAAGGAATTTTAAGGAAATTTCCAAGTAAACAAGCTCATCTATAGGACGTGAGAGATACGGAGAAAAATTTTAAGTCCTAGAAATTCTATGCTGCCCTTTTAAGAAAACATGTATTTGGAGAACAAAGATTTCAAATATTTAGAGAAGAGCTGGTCTTATAAACCTAAATTAGCAAATGGAGTTGAATTTTGATGAGGGCAAAAGGCAGAAAGGAGGAGAAAACAGGCAGGTTCCTAAGGAGTCAGGCTACAGTACATCAGCATGAGAAGATCACATGACAAGCAAGAGGGGCTCTGAGTACGTGCCACAAGTTTGATGTCTGTAACTTATTTGCTGGAGGTAGGTATTAAATATTATCATTCACACTCAACAGCCAGATTTCTAGAAAGCAAGCTTAAGAAACATACATTTTTATTATTCACTGCCCAAATACTGTTGCCTGTTAGTCACCAATTTTACAGTAACTATGGCTTTATGAGAACCACCACACAGGCCTTTCTCAACTTCTGAGATGGGCCACACTCTGTCCTGTGGAGTGTGTTTCCCTCTAAATAAATCCGCTTCTTACCTATCACTTTGTCTCTCACTGAATTCTTTCTGCGATGAGACATCAAGAACCTGAGCTTCATTAAGTCCTGAGACCAGGCAAGGCTCCAGCCTCCATGACCTTCCCTGAGTTCCAAAGGGTGGATTCGAACAGTTGCTGATCAGCACAGCCAAGAAACCATCCGAGGCCAGATTGAAGGAACCAGAGAAGCTCCTCAAGATTAGGAAACCAGCCACCCGAGACCCTGCGCACACCCTCATCTTGTCAGCAACCCCGCTCGTGAAGTATCCATGAAGCTCCTCATTAAATTCTGTCCCGGGTTGGGACACAGTTTTTCAAGGCAAGACCTGATGTGTCCCCTTTTGCCTACCAAAGCAATAAAGCTATCCCTTTCTACTTCCCCCCCCGCCAAAAAAACACCCACCACACAAACCAGAGAGAACATTTTCATCCCCTAAATGGCCAAGTGTACCTTCGTTGCCAGTTCCTAATAAGCAGGTCAAAATGTCAAATACTGCAGGAATTTACCTTTTTTAAATGACTATAGCAAGCAATTAGGCTTTCACAACCTGTTTTCAAATTCACCCCAATCTAACATGCATCTGTTGGGGTGGGGTTGTCGTTCCCTTCCACCAGGGGAAGAGGTGCAACCCCTCCCAAAATGCATTCCAGGTCTCCCCCGGGCCCGGGTCAGGAAGATTCCTGCAGAGGCAAAAAGAAAACGTTGGGTTTGCTTGGTGCCTCCTGAGCCCAAAAGAGAATGATCTTCTGATCAAAAAGTCAGCACAGTGAGAGCGTTAAACGCCCATCAGGATGTCCAGCCGCTGCCCTGCGGCCCCCGACCCGCGCGTGTCCAAATGCAGGTTCCTCCACCTGCCACGGAGGCAGGACACAGCTGACCCGGCTTCCGCCTTACCTGTGATGGTGATGATCCCCAGCATCTTGGACGGCGCACTCCGAGCGGGAAGAGCGGCCGCCCTCGGCCTCTTCGGGCGGTTGGCTGGGGCCGCACGGGGTCTTGCCGGCGCCCCTCCCCCTCCCCCGGCGGTCTACGCTGTGATCCGCAAGAACGAAGCGCCAGGCCACCTTCGGAAGATCTGGGAGAGCCAGAGGTGCCTGCGGAGCTGCAGCCGGAAGCGGACTGAGGCTGCATTTCCCTGGCTAATTATGCAAGGACTCACCCACCCATCCGGGCTGGCGGGCTGGGGGCCCGGGGCTGGCCCGCCCTCCCTGCGCTCCGGGACTGGGCTCGGCGCTCTCCAGTCATGTGTTTCGCTTTAAAGGAGAGGAGCCCTCCCTGTAGCCGGCCTCTGTTCGTGGTCAGTAAGGCTCTGCAGAGAGACCCAGGGAGGGTTTCCGAGTTGCTGGGATGAATAAGACCAGAGTCAGCGGCATGTTATCTAAACCGTTACTTCATTCCTGGCACCGACTTACTTGTCTCTTAGCTCTTAACATTACTTAAAGGAAATAACCACACAGATATTAAATCCCACTGCCATTAAAAAAAAGACTGTGTTCCGTACCCTTATGTTTGTTTAGAGGCTGATGAGGTGGAAAAATGCTCTTTCCTTTTTAGTACCTATAGCTTTTTATATTTTCACCACCTGCTTCTCACACAGGCACACACACTGCGCTGATCCGGGGTTGGCAACCCTCAGCTGCCCTGTTTCCTGAACTCTGAGAAGGGCTGTTACAAGGCGAACATGTGTCTTCAACACTTGGTCCAGGCAACTTTTTCGAAGTCCAAATACATGAGCATTACGTCTGTTCCCCGCCCCTCCCCGCCCCACGCCAAGCCATGGTAGAAGTTAGTTAACTTTCAAACTACGCCGTATTCCAACTTAGAGACACTATGGCATCTCTAACATACAGGCACACAGCATGAAAATCAGTCAGAGCCGACATTTAAAGTTCAGAAATTTTCAAGCAGCCCTAAATTTGTAAAATCTTTTTTTCACTAAAACTTCAGATTTGTTCTATATAAAGACACAGGATAAGTTGGGGGGTTCTTACGATTTTGACACACTATTTCCATTTAGGCCCTCCTGGGTTTGTTTCTTTTTTCATCCTTTTTCTCTTTATCTCTTCATGCCTTGCCTGTCCGACCCCATTAGCACAGGCTCTCCCCCTAAGTAAACAAAAGAAAGGTTTACTATTGCTTTTTTTCTTCAGGCAGTGAAGATTTTGTTCATCATTGCTCGGGGACAGGGAGGAAGGTGGGGGGCTTGGAGTGGACCAGATTGGGCACAGGAAAGAGGAGGGGGGAGGGGAACAGAATTATCAAGAAAGGCTAGTAAGGGCTTCCCTGGTGGTGCAGTGGTTAGGAATCCGCCTGCCAATGCAGGGGACACGGGTTCAAGCCCTGATCCGGGAAGATCCCACATGCCGTGGAGCAACTAAGCCCGTGCGCCACAACTACTGAGCCTGCACGCTAGAGCCCGCGAGGCACACTACTCCCACGTGCCACAACTACTGAAGCCTGTGTGCCTAGAGCCCATGCTCCGCAACAAGAGAAGCCACCGCAATGAGAAGCCTGTGCACCGCAACGAAGAGTAGTCCTCACTTGCTGCAACTAGAAAAGGCCCGCGTGCAGCAATGAAGACCCAACGCGGTCAAGAATTAAAAGAAGAAGAAAAGAAAAGAAAAGAAAAGAAAAGAAAAGAAAAGAAAAGAAAAGAAAAGAAAATGCTAATGAGGACAGACTTGTTGGCTGGCATGGCACGTAGTTGCTCCCTCTGGCCACCAGGGGCCGCTACGCACCCCCTATCAGGCCTACACCGAGCAAGGTTAAGGCGGCACCGTTTCTGGCAACCAGACCTTGTTACAGAAATCAGTTCAGCCTCCATAGATTGGATTTCCCTCATGTTCTGGCGAACGCCCAGCCTGGCCATACGTCCAAGTGGGAACAGGGAGTGATGCGCCTTGTCCTGAGGCCTGGGAGCTGATTCCCAGAGTGAGCCACTTAGCAGTTTCCTAACCTTTATCTTCCCTAGCTGAAACGTTGCTGGTGTTAATGGTCCCTGTGCAGTCCATAGAGTTAAGGGGTCTGGGCAGCTCCACATTCCTCTCTCCGCCACCCCACCCCCAACTCTCGAGAGTCCTAGCTGTGCAAATCATGGATAAAGCCGACCCTGAAGGCTGCATTTAATGTAGACCACTGTACATTAAATGAGCGGTCTACAGCCTTCCCAAGCGTGTGTATCGGCCTGGGCTACCTCCAGGATCTGACCTCCCAGCTCTGCATCATTTCTCAGCACCAGCAGTTGGGGACCACAGATGGCTATCATCCGGCGCCGCCTGAAATACACATATTCAAGTTCTGGGTGCATCTGTTGATTCTCCCCTTGCTTGGCTTGCCACCAGCTCCTTTCCTTTCTAAAAAGTCCAAATTCTAACAATAGGACAGGCATCAGCTGTTCGCCTGAGCTGAATGGAAGAAACATCACTAGTTACAAATGCAAGGTCCAGGGCTTCCCTGGCGGCACAGTGGTTAAGAATCTGCCTGCCAATGCAGGGGACATGGGTTTGAGCCCTGGTCCCGGAAGATCACACGTGCCGCGGAGCAACTAAGCCCGTGCGCCACAACTACTGAGCCTGCGTGCCCAGAGCCTGTGAGCCACAACTACTGAAGCCCGCACACCTAGAGCCCATGCTCCGCAACAAGAGAAGCCACTGCAATGAGAAGCCCGCACACCGCAATGAAGAGTAGCCCCCGCTCGCCACAATGAAGAGTAGTCCCTGCTCGCCACAACTAGAGAAAGCCCGTGTGCAGCAACGAAGACCCAACGCAGCCAAAAATAAATAAATAAAAAATAAAATTAAAAAACAACAACAACATTTAAAAAGGTAAATGTATCACTATTCAGCTTTGGTGCATAAACTTTCTGTTTCTTTTCAAGACATTGGTGAAGACAGTGACACAGCCCGTTTGATATTCTTGGAGTGGTGGTTTAAACCAGAAAGCAGAGCAAGGGATCACGTGGCAAGTTGTTGCCTCTCTTAGCAGACAGTCCTCCTTTGACCTCCATCCACCTTGAAGAGTAATCAAGGACAGGGCATGTGGCAGGCTGCCCGATAAGCCGCTGTGTGTCTTGGATTTACAAAGAAAGGTCATCAATCAGGATAAAAGCTGAAGTAAAGATCAGACGTGAGGTCAGTGTACAATGCAGGCAACTTTCTCTGGTTACTACTTTCATTCCCTATTTGCTTGTTTTTGTTATATCAGAATTTTTAGAGGAAGACGTCATCACCCAAAGCAAAAATGATGGGAAAATGTTTACCAATATCATAAATAGGTGGATGACAAAAAATGTGTTTTCCCAAAACTTCATGGTTCATTCAACAAATATTTACCAAGTTCTTACTCCATGTTAATTATGCTAAGCCCCTAGGGATACAATTGGATACTGTCCTTGACCTCGGGGAGCTCAGTCTTGGGTGGTAGACACACCAAAGGAAGAAGCACGCGCGCTCCAGTTTAACCCACCTCAGGTATCATCTCTGCTAGCCTCTGAAAGGATGGGGGACGTGAGGGGATAGCCCTACCTGAGGCACAGAGGAAGGCAGTCCCACAGAGGGAACGAACAGCATGCGGAAAGGCACGACGGAACACAACATTTAGGGAATATAAGTGAGTTCTTTATAGCTACAGGCTCAGAGTCTACTTGGGGAGACCAGGAGAAGGGAGGGACCGAGGTGATAACCGGAAATGAGACAAGAAAGATTACATTGGAGGCCAGATTATGAAGGGCTTTGAATGACATCTTAAGAACTTTGTAACAAATAACCAAATTAAAAAATGGATCAGGAATTCCTCAGTGGTCCAGTGGTTAGGACTCAGCGCTTTCACTCCTGTGGCCCGGGTTCAATCCCTGGTCAGGGAACTAAAATCCCACAAGCTGTGCGGCGTGGCCAAAAAAAGAAAGGATGAAGGATCTGAGCTAATGTTCCTCTAAGGTAGATAACACAAATGACTGATGAGCACGTGAAAAGATGCTCAACATCGTGAGCCATTAGGGAAATGCAAATCAAACCCCACAATGAGATACCGATTCACACTCACTAGGATGGCTGTAATCAGAAAGACAGACAATATAACAAAGAAAGGAGAAACTGGACCCTCATACATTGGTAGTGGGAAGGTGAAAGGTGCAGCTGCTTTGGAAAACAGTCTGGCAATTCCTCAAAATGTTAAACAGAGATTTACCGTATGACTCAGCAATTCTACTCCTAGATATATACCCAAGAAAAGTGAAAACCTACGTCCACACAAAAACTTGTACAAGAATATTGGTAGCAGCATTATTTATAGCAGGCATAAAAGTAGAAGCAACCCAAATGTCCATCAACTGATGCATGGAAGAATAAAATCTGGTTTATCTTTCCAATGGAACATTATTCAGTAACAAAAGGAAATGGACTATTTATACATGTTATACCATGGAGAACCACTGAAAAAATATTGCTAAGTGAAAGAAGCTAGTCGCAAAAGAGCACACAGTGTCATATTATTTAATTCCATTAGAAACAGGCAAATCTATAAAGACATAAAGTGGAGTAGCAGTTACTCAGAACCAAAGAGTTGGAAAGACTGCTAACAGGTAAGGGGGCTCTTTACGAGGAAATGAAAATGTGCTAAAATTGTCTGTGGTGATGGTGGTACAATTCTGTGAATACACTAAAAACCACTGACATGTATACTTTTTTTTTTTTTTGGCCGCCTTGGGTCTTCATTGATGCATGCAGGCTTTTTCTAGTTGCAGCGAGCAGGGGTTACTCTTCGATGCGGTGCACAGGCTTCTCATTGTGGTGGCTTCTTTTGTCGTGAAACACGGGCTCTAGGTGCGCAGGCATCAGTAGTTGTGACACGTGGGCTCAATAGTTGTGGCTTGCAGGCTCATTAGTTGTGGCGCACGGGCTTAGTTGCTCCGCGGCATGTGGGATCTTCCCGGACCAGTGCTTGAACCCGTGTCCCCTGCACTGGCAGGTGGATTCTTAACCACTGCGCACCAGGGAAGTCCCAGACATTATACTTTAAATGGATCAATTGCATGGTATGTGAATATTTCATTAAAGCTGTCTTTTTTTTTTTTTTGCGGTACGCGGGCCTCTCACTGTCGTGGCCTCTCCCATTACGGAGCGCAGGCTCAGCAGCCATGGCTCATGGGCCCAGCCGCTCCACGGCACGTGGGATCTTCCCGTGCCGGGGCACGAACCCGTGTCCCCTGCATCGGCAGGCGGACTCTCAACCACTGAGCCACCAGGGAAGCCCCAAAGCTGTCTTTTTAAGAAAAAAAAAAAAAAGAATTTTTATGAGTTCTGGAGGCTGCAGGGAATCATTGGAGGTTTTAGAGTAGAGTTGGTGGCACAAAATTTGAACTGTGATTTAGAAAAAGTAA